TGATTTGGTCTTCGGGGTAATCTTTGCACAATTATATGAATCTTTAATATGCTTATTAATTTAAAAATTTTTTTTTTGTTTTTAAGGTTCATGTAATCCACGTAAAAATATTTCATCTGATTCTGCTGAACGTGGCCCAAAATCAACAGGTTGAATCTTTTCTTTGAAATTTCGTGATGGCTTTTTTTACAAAAAAAAAAAAAAAAGAATTAATTGATCGCGTATTAAAACAATAATGTAAATAAATAGATATATAGATAGATATATACCGTAAGTTTCCATTTTCTAAATATCCATATGCCGATAGCAGCAGCAACAACCACGGTACCAACAACGATAGCAGCCGTGATAATACTACCGGTAGAACCAGAACTATCATTGCTATTTGCACTATTAACATTCGTTTTAGAAGTTGGGGTATCTATGATTGATGTTGATGTAATAGTGATAGCAGCAGGCACATTATTAGTTGCGGTGATAATTACTTTGGATTTTTGTTGTTGAGCTGGCGAACTTGGTGCCTGCTTGGGAGATGCTGAAGGTTGTTGTGGTGGTGTTGTGGGTTGACTTGGAGGTTCTGATTGTGGTTGTGGTTGTGGCGAATCTGTAGGTTGTGATGGTGGTCCTACATTCTAAATAATTTGAAATGATCTTGTTATATATTATTTTAGAATGTTTAATGTGTAAGTTTGATAAAACAAATTTACAAAACTTAGACTTACACTAGCAGGCTCGCTAGCGGGAGGCGGCGGAGGCTGTGTAACTGGTGGTGGTGGTAGTGATGCTGCTGGTGGTGGTGCCGCTCCTGATGCCACTCCTGATGCTTGAGCGTTTACATTTGCAACATTTGCGATGAATAATAATACAATAATAAATAAAATGGAAATCTGCTTGTGTCGTAGTAATGCCATTATATGATATATGCTAGTAATGCCTAATATGCTATATGTAAGATTTGGATGAATTAAAAATGCTTAAAAGTTATCGAGCAAAAATTTTTTTTTAAAAAAAATATACAATACTTACTTTAAGGAAAGTAAAGAAATGAAAAAAAAAACAAAAACAAAAAAACCTCAAACGTAGACGATTCTGAGTTTGTTTAAAGAGGGAAGCAGGGATCAGCGGTAGCCAGACACACAAGACCCTATTGCTTTAATGGGTTTTCAAATACGTTGTCAGTTCTCTCACGGACTTCCCCCCGGTCGAGATGATGGTATTAAGTTACGAGGTGTCTGAAAGACTATTCAATGAGCAAAAACAAGACACACAATTTCCGTTGTTAGTAAAAAAAAAAGCCAAAGGCTAACCAGCTAATCCTTTCGAATTGTTGGTTGCGCAATCAAGACTAGAGGGCCAAAGGAACAGAAAATAATAATACAACTGTAAGTGAAGGTGTCAAGTGTTTGAAAAATTAGGGGCAAAGTCGAATATACATATCGTATTTGAAAACCCATTAAAGCAATAGGGTCTTGTGTGTCTGGCTACCGCTGATCCCTGCTTCCCTCTTTAAACAAACTCAGAATCGTCTACGTTTGAGGTTTTTTTGTTTTTGTTTTTTTTTTCATTTCTTTACTTTCCTTAAAGTAAGTATTGTATATTTTTTTTAAAAAAAAATTTTTGCTCGATAACTTTTAAGCATTTTTAATTCATCCAAATCTTACATATAGCATATTAGGCATTACTAGCATATATCATATAATGGCATTACTACGACACAAGCAGATTTCCATTTTATTTATTATTGTATTATTATTCATCGCAAATGTTGCAAATGTAAACGCTCAAGCATCAGGAGTGGCATCAGGAGCGGCACCACCACCAGCAGCATCACTACCACCACCACCAGTTACACAGCCTCCGCCGCCTCCCGCTAGCGAGCCTGCTAGTGTAAGTCTAAGTTTTGTAAATTTGTTTTATCAAACTTACACATTAAACATTCTAAAATAATATATAACAAGATCATTTCAAATTATTTAGAATGTAGGACCACCATCACAACCTACAGATTCGCCACAACCACAACCACAATCAGAACCTCCAAGTCAACCCACAACACCACCACAACAACCTTCAGCATCTCCCAAGCAGGCACCAAGTTCGCCAGCTCAACAACAAAAATCCAAAGTAATTATCACCGCAACTAATAATGTGCCTGCTGCTATCACTATTACATCAACATCAATCATAGATACCCCAACTTCTAAAACGAATGTTAATAGTGCAAATAGCAATGATAGTTCTGGTTCTACCGGTAGTATTATCACGGCTGCTATCGTTGTTGGTACCGTGGTTGTTGCTGCTGCTATCGGCATATGGATATTTAGAAAATGGAAACTTACGGTATATATCTATCTATATATCTATTTATTTACATTATTGTTTTAATACGCGATCAATTAATTCTTTTTTTTTTTTTTTTGTAAAAAAAGCCATCACGAAATTTCAAAGAAAAGATTCAACCTGTTGATTTTGGGCCACGTTCAGCAGAATCAGATGAAATATTTTTACGTGGATTACATGAACCTTAAAAACAAAAAAAAAATTTTTAAATTAATAAGCATATTAAAGATTCATATAATTGTGCAAAGATTACCCCGAAGACCAAATCA